CATGTACGATGCTTGGTCTTGCGTAAAAAGCTTTTTTGATGACATAAATAATAATTGATGACTGACTGCATTGTTTTTTTTCGTTGTCTGTTGGAAAGAATGTTTATATTTCAATCTTTTTTCAGTGGACTAACTTTTTTCATAGCTCCATCTCTTAGGCGTGCATGAGCAATTACGAAAAGAGCCTAATCCGAGTTTCACGACAATCATGCTCATTCTCCGTGGCTCCAAGGTTCGAGAATAAAGATGATCTTGTGCTGCTCGCAAAGCAGCTGCCATTTGCGTAATGAACAACGACATCGCGCATAGGCTTTGGCATTACGCGCCTCAAATAAGAAAAAAAGACGCTGCAGAGGCAACAACTTGGAGCAAAGTTCCGAAAGAATGAAGGCCACTCTCTCATTATAGCTCGTTACTCGCGCGTTCGCGCAGCTTCATCACAAAGGTCAGCCTCGCGCATTTCCCGACGACTGGAGCTTTTTTTCTTTCTTGTTTTGCGTATGGCCATGTTTCGAAATGAGATACGAGCCCATTGGAAAACAAGACGTGTATGACGCGGGTTGGATATAGCACGTGCAATATGCGGCGTCTTCAATCGTATATAATGATAAGTGAGTGCGTGACCTAACGAAGCCGCTCGCGTATAATGAAAGTTGCCATATGAGAAAAGATATCATAACGGCAACGACGTCGCGCAGTATTGAGCGTAAAGAAAAACAAGTACCTTTGAGAATGGAAATTGCAATTGAGAGAGAAGCGAATAAAAACGTATCTGCAAAGGGAAAGCTTACGAAAAGGAGAAAAAAAGCGCCGGCACGAGAAGAGCTGAAAGAGAGAGAAAGAATCTCTCGCACTGCAGAAGCAATGATGATATCGTTTCGCAAGCGCTTGCTCGCTCTCTCTCTCTAGCCATGTGTCGCTACGTACGCTGTAATACGTACGTGTCGCAGTGCGAAGAGGAGCCCACAGTATGTGATAGCTATTTGTATGAAAGCAGGCACGAACGCGCTAAGACATCGTCCTTGTCGTTCTATCACCTTAATCGGGATATACGTCCTGGCAGACGTCTTAGCTTCATGCGTGCACACTCGCGTAGTACGCCTCTGTGTGGATCTAAGCTCCCATACAAGACCGAGCTACGATAAATGTGTATAAGCAGCTGCAGCAGGGCGCCAAGGAGTTTTACCCATCGTGCACCTTCGAGCATACGTACCTTTTCTCTGCTTCGAGAGTCGAGAGAAGACAAAAATGTTTCGCTTATAATGCCTATAACGATATTTCCGTTTTAGTTGTATCGCTACTTATTTTTCTTGATCCGAATTGGTAGGACAGCTCTCAAAGTAGAGATTTATTTACATTTTCTGTCGCTGTTTCTAACCATTTAAATCAAAGAATATAAATGACTTTTGATTTTTCTTTTACTTTAACACGCTCAAATATATATTATTTGTGTAAATTTATGAAAAATATTTATATTGTAGCAACTGAAAAAATTTTTTAATTTTCTTTCGTGCATTTACTTCCTAAACCTTCGTGATTGTCAGACCAATGCCGAAAAGTAATTTGTGCACTTATTCAACCAAACCTGCGATTTTCACAAATCGTTTCTTTATGTCTCCGTTATATTCAGTTTTCTCGCTATGAATAACTTGGCAGCGAAGCAACTACATAGCAATTAAAACAAAAGTGCTTAAACAGCTGTGAATGTATTTACTGTGTCAAAATATAAATTATATTTTTACAGGCATGATCGTTAAAAATTTGAGTTAGGCTTATTCAACATCTTAAAACTCTGTGATATGAATTTTATAATAAAAGAGGGCTTTATTAGTTGGTTTTTCTCACGTGAAAAGTTGTCCGTCACTATTCCCTCTTGATTACTCTAGAGCTTGAAAAAACATGTCTCATAATTATTATTAAAAATTATATTCCTGAATAATGTTAACATATGTTTGAAAGCTAATTAGTTTTGCAGATATGTGAAGATGATAATATTTTTTAAAGCGAGAAAAGTGGTCTGTTTCAGCATTAAACGTAGGAAGTGAACAAAGTAAGCTTCAAGGTATATTGCATTAAGCTCAGTTGTAACCAGGCAATGTGCAATTCTCAACGAAAAATAAATTTCTTGAAAATAACTCCCTTGCGAGAGACACTGGAGCGTAAAAAAAGTGAAAGAAGTAGGATAAAAAGGCAAAGGAAAGGGGGCTAGAGGAAAGAGAGAAAGAGAGAGAGAGAGTAGTTATATTTACTCTCATCTAGAAGCTCGGTAAACGCTGGTTTTATGAGAAAATGATCCAATGGCCGACGGTTGCATAAACCTCGCGAAAAAGTTCACTGTCTCTGGAAAAACTGAGGAAGAAGATGACAAAGAAAAAGCAAAAGTAAATGTACTTAAACATGACTTCCATGCGACCATCTAGTTTTACGTGTACTGACACTCGTATGCATAACGAACTCGAGTGCGGGACTGTGGCTCTTTAGCTCATATGTGAGTGAAGTATGTGAATATAGTAGCACACGAGACACGGGTGGTAAGAAAACTACGACGTGTGATTAAGAAGAGGCAATTCGGTATGGAGCTAAGTTTGGTCTTTAACGCGTGTAAGTTTGAGTTAAAGGAAGCGAGGGAGAGGAAGAGGGCGAGAGTGAGTTAAGGTTGTACGAAAGGTAGCGATGAGCGCGGCGGAGGGTACAAGATGCTTGCTGTTGCTGCTGCGCACTCATAATGTTACAGGTTAACCGGATGCATTTGCATGTATGCTGAGCTACGGCAACAGCAATGGGGCACTGCGCCTTGAATAACAATGTCTAAAACGGAATTGTACGCGCTCGGACGATAACGACGACGACGACGACGACGACGACGACGACGACGACGACGACGAAGGAGATGACGCGACATGCTCTGTGTTGTGCTCCATACGCTTAGTGCTCGCCTTTATTGGCTCGCTCGTCGCATGCAAACACCCGCGTACGCATGCACAAGCACATTCATACCCATCATATTATTACGTAGAGTTGCTCATGCTCCTTGTTGAGATCCAGACGCGTTGTTGCATTAAAATCCAACTCGACACGCAGAGTATTACTACTTGTTTATAAATATAGCTATGTGCTCCGCGCGCTTGCAGACGTATGCGAGCGACGTTAAAGTTACGTTACTGGCTCAATTAAACTGTAGTTAATATTTGTACTTCATTAATATTATACTGCACAAGTTTGTGTGCAACACACCATTTCTAGCTACGTACATTTCAGTCTGCGCCTAAAGTCCCTACATAAATCACTTTTTCACTGTCAGCTGAATATACAGCCTGTCATATAATCTCGTCTGCATAATATGTGACAGATTTTTACATTAACACTTTCAAAACGGTGTTAGAGACTCGGACGATTTATAACTTGATATTGTTATTCGTTCCGATGAAACCTTTTTTTTCGGTTTCTATTTATTACCACATATGGCTTCCGTAAGCGTGCACAACAGAATATTAAAAATTGATTGGGATCATTCTATACTAGTACGTTGAGTTATTGAACATATATTTTTTTCCATTTGCAAGGAAGTTTGCATTGCTAGACGGAAAAAATCACAAATTACCAGAAGACCCTGGCGTGACCTGTCACAACGTAGCGTGATCTTTCAAACAGTTTGATAGCTCGTTATAAACTGAGCAGGTAAGATATTTGTCACTCAGTGTATTCTAAGAATGAAAAACAATTTATCAAGTTATTTATACGACGTTAAATTATTAAACTTTTTTAATGCGTCAATGCGAGCCAAAACATACGTATGTTGAAAGAAAGTTTGAGTGAAAATTCCGAAAAGTCGATTTTTACATATAATAATACAAAAAAATGTCTAAAAAAACATTTCGAGCTTTTTAGTAAGTAATATATCATGAAAAACATTTAATAAGATATTAGTCAATACGCGTTTTTCACGTTTCTTTTACAATCCAATAATTGTAGTTACAACGAGACAGTAAGTGCAGTCTGCAAGTTTTCTAGCACCGATAGCGCACAACGAAATAACAACGCCTTTCACAGAAGCTTTAGGCTTCGTAAGAGATAAGAAAGAAAAAAGACGGGCACAAGAGATGAACGCACACATACAGTCAGACGTATATACGTCTGTGGCAGTACAAGGAATAGAGAACAAGGACTTGAGGGGGGTGTAGCTCTGGCGGACCGGGCGCGCGAGGAGCAGGAGAGTTATACACATTGAGTTAAATTGTTTCGATTGAATCGAACTTACCACGCGGCAACCACAGTTGCCCGAGTCTCGCTTTCGCTCTATACTCGCCTCTTTCATTTACCACCAAAACTAAATCGAAATTTCAACGTGGCAGGGCACGCGCTGACTCCGGCTGCAAAAGGATATCCGTTAACCATTTTCCTTCCTCGCAAGAAGAAAACTTTCTCTCTATACTTGAGACGTAACTTATACTGGCTGAAGCAGCTTGAAAGCACGGTCAAACTTCAACTGATCAAAGAGTAATGAGGAAAGAAACAACAAGCCTCCATAAAAAGATGACTTGTACAAAGTGAGAAGCCTTTGCTCTCGCTTTCGCTCCCATTGCTTTCTGAACTTACTGCAATGCACAATAATTGTTCAACTTTATCAACACTTTCTTCCTTTATATCGCTGAAAAAACAAATGGAAGATATTTCAAACAAAGTAAACTGTATAACATAAATTCCAAAGCTTAATGGATATCCGAAAAATTTCAAACATTTATCTACTTTATTGGCTTGATAATGAACACTGTGATACGATTATGTATAGTAAAATGTATGAAAGGCGGTCTTTTGAGACCGTGACATTGAGAATTGTAAAAAGGCTATTTTAGAAATGTATGTATCTTGGATCTATGCTATTTTATGAATATCTTTCCCTCATACTAAAAAGTCTTTATGATTTACTCGATTAATTAATTCGCGTTCAGCAGTCTTGACTTCCGCGAGTGGATATCAGAAGTGTTTGTGGCCTCTTGAAATCAACAAGTTCAAAAATTCTCGCTGCAAGTTCGCGGCTGTCACATTGTTTTTCTCGGTGCAAATATCAAGCTGTTTTGACTTATGTCTTAGAGTTTTGAAAGAGAGTCCGGTGGAGTAACCAAGAAAGATAAAAGAGTTTAGCCAAACTTAAAGAAAAACAAAATTCTAATAAAGTAGAGAGTATAAAAAAGTTCTTAGATATTCGTCTGGATCGCAACACGGATCGTTGCACTTGATTTCAATCGTAATGCTCAGTTATACGTCGAAGCGGCTATGCTTGGCAGGGTTAATGCTGCTGCTGATGCTTTCGTTAGATCGTCGGCCAGGCGCTGAAGCCTTTAATATTTTGGGAATTTGCCCTAGCACGAGTTATAGTCATCAACAACCATTTCAAGCTTTGATGAAGGCTCTGGCTCAAAGAGGACATAAAGTGACTGTTATTTCACCCATTCCGCTTAAGGTATGACAATTTTCAGTTCACAGTATTCTAGCTAGATACACAACGAGTACCCTTCATATTCTCTGGCTCTTTGACTCCATGATAGCGCTCAGATATTCGACCAACTTTTGTTTGCTCACTAGTCAAGTGTTTTCGCAAGCTCATAAATCATTTATGGATCGTATACGATAAAAAAAATTACAATGAAAAATTATTAATACTAAATCCAAAAAAGTCGAAGGTTAAATATTTTGGGCTCGTGATTTTGCTTGTACTTTTCGAAGGGGGGAATAAGAGTCGAAGGTTTTTTGTGACTTTCCACGTTTCTATTTTATTTTTCGTTAAAACTAATTCAAATGTTGAAACGCATGCATGCTAGGAAGCTTAGCAGTGGTGCCGTTCTTATAGAGCAATTTAAGCTCATCATGTAATTCTTATTTTCAAGTTTTATGTATTTCACGATTTTCTTCGACTACTTTCGTCATATGTGACTCTTTTCTCCCTCGTGCAACTCCTCGTTAAACTTGAGCAAAGAGTTACGCAAACTTAGTTCAACACCAATTTACTCGCGCCAACATTGCTCTTACCTAATATGCTAGCGAGCTGCTTGGCTTTTACTTCTAATGACAAAATTTCGAATTACACGTACATGTAATCTTTGGCACATTTTTGAAAAGATATTTGATTTGAATAAAATAATTCATAATGGATGATACCAATAATTATAACTTTTTACAGAAACCAATGGAAAACTATACAGATATTGATTTGTCCTTCACCTATCAAAAAGAAGATTGCACAAAGTTAAGGTGTGACATTTCACCCAATTGTGTTATCAAAGTTAACTATCTCCTTAATGAATATTGAAAATATTTTCTTTGCAGACATATGAGTGCTTACGAAATATTACGGAAAAGTATGAAGCAGTCCAATAAGCTTTGTGAAAAACAGTTATTTAGCGATCCTATTGCTGAACTCATGTAATGAAAAGTAATCATATAATAATAAATTCTATTACTGGGCATTTTATAAATTTTTTTTTAGCGCTCGCAACGAAACTTTTGATGCTATCGTAATTGAACAGTTATGGTTCCAGTGTTACTATAGCTTGGTACAACATTATAATTACCCCGTTCTGATTGGATTTTTGAGTGTAGGAAATTTGCCCTACGCCATGGATTCTGTTGGCAAGTAACTTTACCTCATACAAGTTTCTATTTTACTTTGCGATTGTGTATCTTCACTACTGCTAGAAAAAGCGATGAAGTTATAAAGATTAACATGAAATATTATTCTGAAATAGACTCAGGAAAAAAATTATTCGCGAATTTTTACTTTAACTTTAGGAAATCCGGATGATCCGTTTCTTAATCCGGATATGGCTTATGCTTTCGCCGGTAGAATGGATTTCAAGGAAAGAGTTTGGAACTATCTTTATACTACATATACAAGGATCTACTACAATTATTTCCATCTACCGGAGGCTCAGAGCATAGCTGCAAGATTTTCTCCTGGAGTTTCCTGTTTCTCTATTGATCGTAACTTTAGCCTTGTCATTCTTGGAAATAATCATGTATTTGGTTATCCAAAACCATTATTGCCCAATGTTATTGAAGTTCACAGTCTGCAAATCACAGGCAATCCAGGAAAACTACCTAAAGTAAGTTTATATTGATTTATGAATGCACATTTGTGTTTTGTCTCTTGTACCGCATCAGTTATGAAAGTTTGATTTTAAAAATGTATAATAATTCTTTGCATTAATTTGATCAAGGCTTAATGAAATGTAATATTAATTTTTAGGACATTCAAGAATTTTTAAACAACGCAACTGATGGTGCTGTTTACTTCTCTTTGGGTTCGAATTTACAAAGTCGACAGCTACCGCCTCTTGCTTTAAAGGCTCTATCCGATGCTTTTGGTTCGTTGAAGCAAAGAGTTCTGTGGAAACACGACGGACATGTGTCTGCTCAAGCAGACAACATCAAGCTTGTGGAATGGGCTCCTCAGCAAGCAATTCTAGGTATAAATTTATTAGCCTTTAGGGTTAACGATTTTATAACTATGGTGTTGGCGCTGTAAAATAGCACGTATGCTGTTAAATAAATCAAATACTCTGAAAATGAAAAAATTTGAATTTAAAAATCTGAACGCACAAATTAAGTATTTCATGAAGCAACTTCATTTTCATATTATTTTTTAGCTCATCCAAATGTCAAAGCGTATATCATGCAAGGTGGATTGCAATCGATGCAAGAGGCTGTTCATTATGGAGTCCCTTTATTGGCCCTACCTTTTTTCGGCGATCAGAATTTTAATGGACGAAAAATCGTTGATGCAGAAATAGGTCTAATTTTACACGTAGACACAATGACAAGTCACTCTATTAAAGTCGCTGTGGAAAAGTTGATATATGACCCTAAGTATAAAAAACAACCATTTTTTTTTAAAAATTCTGCTGTCTAAATCCAAAGTTTGTTGTTATTGTTATTTTTGTTTTTTAGATATTCTCGTAACATTCAGAAGATGGGGAATATTCTCAAAGATGAAATCATAAATCCCTTACATAAGGCAGTATGGAATATTGAACATATTCTTAAGTTTTCACCATCAAATCATCTTCGCTATCACGGCCATGACATATCCAACATCGAATACTTAGCAACTTATTGTTTCATTTTTTCTATTGTCCTTTTTGGAATAAGTTTATTAGTATGGATATTGGTTTACATTTTTCGATCATTATTGCACATTGGAAATGATGTTATAATAAAAAAAAAGAAACATGATTGACAATAAATCAAAATTTCATTATCATTCAATTCAATACGTGCCGATTGTGAATATTAAAGAACAAGAAGAAATTCAATATGTGGTATAACATTTTTATTTAAACATCCCATCGTAGTAATTATAAGTAAAATAAATTAATTTACCTCAATAATTTTCGAAAGACATATAACATTAAACTTTTATATTTAAATGCCTCTAAAGAATTTTTTTTAAATGTAATAAATATAAATTTTAAACATGAAAATAAGAATGTTCATTGTGTACTACACAATTATTTTCTTTTCTCAAAAATTCTCAAAAATTAAATGACGAAAATAAGTTGTTAATTATTTCTAATGAATTAATACCCTCTGCATTTGAAAATCTTTTCTCTAATAATTTTTTCAAATTCATTCGAGTATTTTTGTTTGTCTATAGATTGTTTATATATCATCTAAAATATTATCTTGGAATATTAACCAACAACCTAAAACAAAAGGTATTTTTTATTAAATTTTGACGGTCGGTACGATGAAAAATTGAATAAATACTTGTACCATCAGACGGCAATAATGCAGTTTATTTTATCAGTGGATAACCAGTGTTATTTTGTCGTACATAAGCAAAGAAGAATGTATGTTTTAAGGCAAATTTTTTTCCAAAATATTGTGTCAATAAGAAATTTTTCGAATATTCAATTAATACTAATTTTTTCAAAGTGATATAAGAATATTTTTTTCATCACTTGATTGATAGAAAATTTTTAAGTCTCGAATCGAAAATTTCTAAATTTATCTTTAACACGTTCAAACTAAATAATGTAAATTAATTTTCATTCATTTAAAAATATAAATTCACACTCTATTATTTAAAAGGATTTAAGTTATGAATTTATTATTTTAAAATAACTGTTTTATCTCGAGACTATTTCGAAAAAAAATTCTAATACGAAAACGTTAATGATCAGAATATTAATTTGAACCATTCAAAAAAATTTTGAATGAAAACTTTTGTCGAATAACAATATAAATCAAAAATAAAAGGGAAAAATGTATCTATAAATCGATCGACATCGGGAACAGATGATGATTACGCCTCTTTCAAAGGAACGTATAATCTTTCAATGATCAGTCGATTCTTTTTCTGAAAAAAGCTTGTAAAAGATTCAAGTTTTAACAACACATCTTGCACCAATTTCTTTGAGCTTTTCCCCTTCTATCAGTTCAATTAGTATTCTGCTTATGTCACGTTACGTATGAACATATTGACTGTCTACAGACGGTATAAATAATACCAGCAGAATCAATTCTGTACCAGTCGTAGTGTAGTCTCTCCGAAGTAAACTTGGTGAGTCAAATATATTTAAGCTTTTTCTCAATGTAATCGATATTAAGATCTTAAGATCAACAATCGGGGTTTATTTTGTCCGAAATCTATCGATCTAATCATAAAAATATTTATAGTAAGAAATTTCAACGTTGTCATTCAAATCGATAAATAGTACTGCATATACAGAATAAAAGCTCGAACTATATTATATCTATGTAAAATTGTTACGAGTAGTTTGTTCAACTTATGACTTCAAAAATTCCAAGCATTTTACTTTTGAAATGCAAGGAAAAAATTTATCTATTATGAATAGAACCTTTAGGTTAAGTATAATGTTTTTTCTTCGGTGAAAGAATTCGTCCTTTATTATTTATTTCCCGTTTTAATAGAAAAAAACGTCAAGCGACTATCCAGTCAAACAATAATATTATTGACAGCGATGACTTTCATAACTTTAATCATTTAAAAGAATTACATTCTTAAAAATTATCATTACACCCCTTAGTATTCAAGATAACTGACAGACAGACAGACGATAAGCGTGAGTTACTCACATTTTTATAAATATTATTAAATATTCATATGCGTCAGCATTTCTCATAACTAATTTGCGTTTATTGTATGTAACAAGATCTTTTTTGGTATTACTCAGCATTTTTTAAATTAATTTATGAAATTGAGAGTTATACCAGTTTAATAAATAGGTCAACTGAGTATACAGATTCTTTTCTCGAATGACAATGCACTTTATCGATACGCAAGTTGCGATTGTTTAAGTCTATACTTTGAAACAAATAAAAATGTCACATTCAATATTTAACTTTGTTAATAGCTCAGGTATCGAAATCCGTGATCTTTGTTTAAATACTTCTTCAGAACAAAGTCAATCTATTTCAAGAGTTTCATTTTCTTATGCTGCATCGATTAAATCCATTTCCGTAATCAAACATAGTTTTTGTTTACACTTTATTCTTAAAAACGTTATTTTTATATTTTACAATAGAAGACAATATTTGTTCTTTACTAGTTTTTATTAAACCCTTTAAAATTTCTACATTCGATTTTTACCACGAATTTCTAAATAAATTACATTTCACAAACCGATTTTAAATCATAGACATGGTAAGCATATTCAGTTTTATAACGAACGATGCAGTAAAACTTGTCTATCCACTACTCTCTCTTTTTCATATGATCTTGGTGTTGCCTACGTACTTCCATAAATCACAATTATTGCAAACTTATCAATTTTATAAATTGATTGATATATTACGAAAGATCTAACACAATGGAAATTTACTATCGTTTCAGAATTATAGTATGTTAACAGGATTTTCCAGAAAAATATTTCAATACCAAGTGCAGATCGCAGAACTGCACTCCTTATATCCACATCATTTCAAAGAATTTAGGCCTAGTTGATGTTTTTCATTTCATGAAAAACATTTACACTTCAAAATAGTTCAAATGTCAGAGGTTAGAGGAATCATCAAATCAATTTATTCTGATTTATAAAAATCATTGATTCTAAGCCAATTTCTACAACAAAAATGGCTGATGAAAAAAGTGAAGAAATTTCTATCGGAACAAAGCTTCTGATGGCTGGCACGGCAGCGTGTATTGCCGACTTCGTCACTTTTCCTCTAGATACGGCTAAAGTTCGTATGCAGGTATTTAAAAACTATAAACCCTAAAGATACTTAAATATAATTAAATTATATTATATCTCACTTTTAAAATAAAATATTCCTTTTTGAAACTTTAATCAGATTTCTGGCGAAAGTCGTGCTATTTTAATGTCATCATCCGAAGGCTCAGTGTTGGCTGTAAAAGCAGTACAACCTGGATTAATTCAAACGATAACAACATTAGTAAAAAACGAAGGCTTCAGGTATCCTATTTCAAGCATAGTTTAAAAGCTGTATAAAAATATTATAAAAATTTGCGAAATTGTACGATTCAAAATACTTTAGAAAATTATACGGAGGTCTATCAGCAGGACTTCAAAGACAAATGTGTTTTGCAAGTGTTCGTTTAGGGTTGTATGATTCAACGAAAATAATTTATGCTGATTTTTTCCAAGGTATTTATAGCTCTTTAATTGCTACGGCATAGTTTTCACAATTATCCGTATTTATATAAATGGATTCGAATGGGGAATTTTTTTCCATTTCAGGTAAATCCAACAAGGAGCAAGCGTTACATGACGCACCGATTGGCGCTGGTGTGCGAATTTTAGCTGGTATGACAACTGGCGCTTTAGCGGTATTGTTAGCTCAACCTACTGATGTTGTGAAAGTTCGGATGCAAGCGGGAAACAGCTTGAAATATGCGTCAACGCTTCAGGCATATAAAAACATTGCAGTGCACGAAGGAGTAAAGGGACTTTGGAGAGGTAAAAAATATTTATCTACATTCAAATTTTAAAGCAGAATGATGCAACGAGTCGATCAAAAGAATCAGCTTAAGTTCAATACCAAATAAATTAAAAAATTTCACCAACACTAGGCACAGCTATTCCATAATTAACAACGTAATTATAACGTTCATTTACGTGTTATCAACCTGAAATGTCATTGGCTAGCACCCAAACGTTTTTTTGCGCAAAAGTAAAATCGTCTTAAATTGATAAGAAAGTCATAGTTTTTTTATAAATACATTTAAAAATAATATCGTTCGTATTATATTTTGATCATTATTCATACATTTTTCACACAGTTATTATGTTTTGATTCATCGAATATTTGTTTACTTCAAAATTAAATATTAATGTTTATTTATTTTTCAGGAACTTTCCCAAATGTGACGCGCAACGTGATAATAAATGTTGCAGAAATCGTTTGCTATGACATTGTAAAAGACGAATTACTCAAATCCGGTATATTTTCTAATGGAGTACCATGTCATTTGACGGCAGCTATAGTTGCTGGATTTTGTGCTACGTTAACTGCTAGTCCAGTTGACGTAGTAAAGACACGATACATGAATAGTAAACCGGGAGAATACAAAAGTGGAATAGATACCGCATTACGTATGCTTCATAATGAAGGGCCAACTTGTTTCTATAAAGGCTTTGTACCTAGTTTCACGAGATTAGTATCTTGGAATATTGTTCTGTGGCTCACGTATGAACAAATTCAGTTACACACAAAACATTAGTCAGTAGATTAAAAACCAAGTATTTGTTCATATAATATTTTTCAATCAAATTATAGAAATCTAGAAATATGCTTAGTCGAACTAGTCGTTGCTTAAAATCTTTCACTTGTTCAATGAAAAAGTATTTAGAAAATTACACACATTAGGTACAATGTTAATTTAGAATTTTGTATGAAAACTCGATAAAAAATTGTCTCTTTTCGAGAAACTCATTTATATAGTTATACGATAATTTAAAATTGAATCATTAAAATATTTTATTTTTATATTGTTATAAAATGAGTTTTGTTATAAAAAAAAAGAACATGCATATCAATAAGTTATTTTTTGCACCGATATATTTTGAAGAACTATATGAAAAATCTGAGGTTAACCAGTAATCATTAATACATAGTTTATTTAAGAGTGTATACTCAGAGTGAAAGAGCAGTTCCATTACATAATGATGATGATCGAAATGATGTTATGTTGATACTTAAATTTAAATTTTCAATAACAAGATGAAATTTAATATTTCAACATTTTGAACGATACTTAAAAAAGGTCATGATGTATAGAGAGAAGTCTAGAAAAGCGAATAGGTCAGGTACGCTCGTAAAAAATGAACGTTTTACTGAAAGTTACGTATTCTAAGAATGCAAAAAATTATGAAAAACTGCAGAGTGCCAAAAATGAAAAATAACAATTTTAACAGCTCATTGATCAGTACATGAGTTTAAAATTATTTATGATTCAGTGTTTGGAGCTTATACCAAAAATTGGTGAACGTTGTAAAAGTAAAAAGCTGATGAATGTATAAAAGCAGAGAGTATATTTTTATAAAATTGTAAAAACAAAAAATATTTTTTTAAATTTAAATTATAATTCATACTTTTTTAAAATAAAATTTCTTATGAAATATTTATCATTTATCAGTACCAGACGTATTATTTCAAGATGAGGTAAAAAGCTCAAGTCAAAATTTATGAACGCAAAATTACTCATCGTGGATATGGTAGTTTTTGTAAGGAATAGCGGATCGACGATACGCTCATTGACTACTTATACAACAGATGAAGAATCGGGCCGGTAAGTAACCGGTCGAAACCATAGCCGCGGCAAACGAACGCGACGGCGTTGGGAGCGTTCGCGCCTGGCAAAACGTCGCGAGGAGCGCCATTCATTGGATGCTTGGAGCGCGCGCCGCATTATATACTCTTTACCTGCGTGAGCAGCCTTACTGTAGGTGTGCAAACTGCGAACTCGAGATATCCTCCACTCGCGCGCGCGGTGAGTCACGAATAATGCGGTTGTGAGAAGGATCCCCACCCTCTCTCGAGCCAATCGTCGAAAGCAGCAATGTCGACTCTCGCTCTTGCGTGCGAATTGCGGCTCTGCATGTATTCACACACACACACATATATACATATGCAACAACACGCAGCCAACTCGGTAAGCGTAAGCGTGTACATAGTCTCGTGCGTGCGAGTATAGACATCGGCAGCGCTCGCGAGAGAGCGAACGAGACGGAGCGATCGGCGAATCGCCGTGTATACGCGAATTATACAGCCTATAGTCCGCAGTGCCAAGACTGCACATCTTCAGCGGTGTATATACGTCCGTGCGTATTGCAGCTCTCTCGCGGGCAGTATACTCTGCAGTCGGCGTGGTGTATCGCCGAGTCTATAGCATGAGTGTATAGTTGAGTCAGTGGTGCGCGCCGCGCAACATTCTGCGCCCGAACTCGCTTGCTGCTTCCGAGGCATACGAAGCGCCGCGCACAGCGGAATCGAATAAAGTTCAGCGATCTCTCGAAGGCGGAGCAGCCGTGAGAGACTCTGGAGTGAGTCGTTGTAGTCGTGAGTCTTTGCGCAGCGAGTTGAACCCGCAGTAGGCCGATTTTCCTGACCGAAAACTGTGTGCGCGCGCCAGACTCGCTCGTTCGTTGTGCATCAAACAAATCTACAATCTCGAACGTGCATACCCACACACACTCACAGGCAAATACATACACACGCGTGTTCGTTCCATATACTGTCACTGCGTATAATACAGTGTCCGTCGTGTTGTCAGTGCATCACAGTGTGCGTTCCCGCTAACAAACCTACCTCACCTGCAATCTCTCTGGCTGGTCTTCGCTGCATTTCGCGCTGCACCGAATCGGGTGTACTGCTCGGTGTACTGTTCGCTTCGATGTACTGTGCAGAGTGAATCGTTAATGTGCGTGTGTGTGTGCGTGCGCGCGGTGCCTGTGCGCTTTATCGGTGTATCGGCGCAGCCCCGAGTGCAGCAGCCCACCCAGTGGCTGCTTTCGCAGAAACCGATGTTCCTGCCGCACGACGAGCCTGTCTTGCAGTCGTAATCTTGGTCGTCATGGCAGGTTATATCGGAGCTGCAGTAACTGCTTGAGGGTACTGCAGGATCCGCATGCGGAAGGCCCGGGAGTGATCATGGGTCCGAGCGATTGTCAACCGGACTTGTGATCTGGCGCGAGCAACGGCGGAGGAGTGACAGAAGTAGAGGCAGGGACGATTTGAAAGAATCGAAAATAAAAACATCGAAAAAATGGAGCAAGGATCAAATTCATCGAGTTCAAAAGTAAGTGTTGCAATGCAGCATAATAAAATTTGTTTGCCTTTTAGTTGAGAAATTTTCGCAAACTCGTTTCTCGGATCGTTCCGAGTTGTTCATGCTACCCAATCTGCAGCTAAAGCAGATTGGAAGGATGTGACAGCAAAGAGAGTGTATGCGCCTGAGCTGCCGGCGACTGCACTGCGCGTGCAATCGGACCCAATGCTGCACCGGAGCAGCTCGGAAATAATCGCGCGTCGAACAGAGCTTGGTTATAGCCTCGCTACCGATACACAGCTCCTTTACGAGTCAAAACAGAAATGTTATCGGCGGCAAACAGGAACGAACAAAGAAAAGTGTAACACAACAAGTCGTTCGGTTGCTGAGTAATGCCCTACGCCCGTTTGTCTTGACTAGTTTTTTTATAGGCAGTATTTTTATGCATTTATGGGATACGTATGAGTGTATATATATGTGCGTGTGATATGTGTATATATCACAGGCACATGTGTATATTATGTGTACACGTACAGGTGAGAGTCTCCCGCGTTCGTACTGTAGGCTTGTTTGCGTAGCGCACGTATTCGCATGTTATTAACGTTACAGGCGAAGAAGGCGAGGAGGAAGCACCTCCAGTGCTGCGCCACCGTCCACCAACACTCGAGCATATAGATTTTAATTCTAGCTGTTGCAGCCTCGGCGGCACACCATGATTTGTATATGAACACGGTATCAGCGACGAGTACGTGTGTGCAATGAAGTATAAGCACATAGCACTCACTGCCAGTCTCGGTCTTTCTCTCTCTTTCTTAATATATACCTACGCAGTTTGCGAGCAGTTCGCGTTATGTGTCAGCTCAAAATTTTCTCGGACCCGAGTAAGTCGCATTCTAGGAAAGATGCGCTTCTCTGCGGTTTCCGCTACTTTTTACTTTTTCATATTCAAGCAACTCGCGCTTTGGCAACAGACAACTGAAGCGTTTGCTTTTGCTGATTCCTTGTCTCCTTTTTATAAATATTTTTCAGGCTTATACCGTGCAGTTTCTGTTTTTAAATGATCGTCAAAATAAGATTCCGAAAGCTCTATAGGAGGCAACAAGAACTGCGACACTAATTCCTCCGACTTCGTAGCAAATGCGGTTTGATTCCAAATACCAAAGTCTGAGTCACACGTGCCGTTCTCGTCTAAAATTATTCTTGCAGCAGTAGTCTAGGATAAAATTGATCGAAATGTCTTAATACTATAATTAGCCAATAAGCCTTATAAGATTAAGTTTCACGGAACTACTGAATTAACCTCTCCGCAACTAGTTTTGTATCGCTACAGGAGGTCAGTTTTTCTCAGCTTCTCACTTCGCGATCCAAATATCCATTTTTCTTCGCCTTGAGTGTTTTCGCTTGCAAACTGCATTTTTCATCATAATGAATACGAACTCCTTGTGCGAATAGTCTCTTGCGGCAATGGAAATTGAGACTTTCGTGAGAGAAATTATATTTTCCGCTCTCCTCCGCAGTGAATCGTAATTGAATTTTCTTCAGTCTACTGCTACTCATGCTAACACTACAGCGGTACGATACGAATCCTGTCAGCACTCGGTATACGATGAACGTAGCACCGACTAATTTCTACACAGATATTTGTCAATTGTCGCGCAAACCATGAAACTTCAGCAAAAGGAGCTTCTATTTTGTAGTCTATAAATAAGGAGCGAGATCCAAGTGTGTGAACACAAAAGGCATTACAATTTTTTGGTATACCCCATTGATGTATTGTCGAAAGAAGTGATAGGCGGAGGAGCCAATAACTCATTTTGTAGGCATATACCAGCTGACTCGTATATATTGTAAGCAGAGATATGAGTAAAAGAGAGAAATATCGTTCTCTGCATTGTTATTTCGACTAAGATATGATCTCTATATTTATATTCATTCATAGAATACAAGTTTGGTTACGGATACGAGTTCCAGTTTTCATAATCATCTTCCAATATTCTAGTTCGTAACAAAAACGGTCCTTTGAATGGTTTTTTTATTTGATAGCGTTCTTTTATAAAAGAATCTAGTTTTTGTAGTTTTATCCAGCAAACAACGCAAACAATAATTTTTATCATCTTTTACTTTAATAGCTAAATTTTCTTCTAAAATTTTCATCATCATTTTAACTACTTCCCAAGACAACATGTTAATACGTTTCGACCTTAACAACAAATGAATAATTGTCAATGTATCACCTACGTTGCAATAAGATTCTCGCCCCATAAATGTCACTAAAAGTAATTTAAAGCTATGCAGCCTAATAAATAACTTCCAATTCAATTCAAGAGGAAAGATATTTTACCTCAGCAAAATGTGTTCTAAGGAACATTCTGCAGAAAATTTAATTAGCTGTCTTCTGTAAGTCTATTTGAATCGAGAAATAAAGAGTAAAAGTTATGATTAGAGCTTATATACACATTTTAGTTGAGTGTAACTCGTATACGCACGGTTATTCATTGGACAAAATTTATTCTAGGTGTGCCCTCTTAGTCACGAAGAATAGGGTGAAAAATGAGTTTCAGGAAAATCGAGAGCCTTGCGTACATCACGCGATCGAGTAGTATTGGATTTCACTGTATGTCCATTATTAAGTATACGATAAATTTGATTGCTATCGAACATATCTTACTATCGGTATCGAAACTCACAATAGTATTGCTGAAAGGTGCGTAAAAATAGTTAATAGCAAGTAAAATTTGCTGGATAACAAATTTATTGATTACAGTTAGTGCGCGAAGGTTATACTTTCTCAGTTATATATTTCATTTTAATTTTAGAAGATATACTGAGATAAAAACGCGTACTTTATATATTTGACAAAATATATTAGAAACACATTGATGTCTTTATATTATATTGGCGTTCATAATACTATCTATAGTTAATAAATTAGTCTGCAACATGCCCTGCAATTAACTACGCCTTAAAAAATTGTCTAAATTCACCGCGTAGCTTAATCGAGCCAATAAATATTCGGTTGTACAATGCATGTGGTGTTAATGATCTATTGAAAAGTAAAGAATTGTCATATCTATCAGTTATTTATAGATGGTTAAAAATGCACATCTATGTGCGTTGGCAGGAATGCACTTTAATGTTAATTGAGTTCAACGCCCAGATTTAACGCAAGTTATTCAATAAAAGTAAAAAATACTCCAAAGTTGACTCAAAGCTATATTTCTTAAATGAGTAAAATAGCGTTCTCTAGTCGCGCTGACCAGTACTTTGAATTTTAAGCATGGAATGCGGCTTACATAGGCGTTACGTCGCCTAAGACAAGCGCGGCACGCGCACGGTGCAGAGCTCCTCGCTATATGCTATATCTAACCCTTGCTATGGATAAACATAGATTTCTTACTACTTAGCTGCGCGGACATGGCCGTCAGAGTCGCCGAGTGCTGTCGCCGCGCGGATTTATATTTAGATGAAGGGAGAGTTTGCAAGAGCAGCACTTTCAAGAGTATGCGAAGTCGACCGCAGAGACATTTTCGCCTCGAAAAACACACTCGAGAGTTTATCGCTCGCGCAGAATAAAGCGCGGTTATTAGCCAGCCAACGCGAGAAAAGGCAAAAGAGGAAAATCAGATAGAGACACAACGGCTCGAATGTTTTGGCGAAAATTTTTATAGCGGAGAATTGCGGCAAATTATCGTGAAATGTTTGCGGTGCCTTTATTACGCGAGGACCCCTGCGCCTACCTCCTTCGTCGCCATATAAAGCAATATTACGAGTCCATGTGCGAGAAATTGTCATTATGCGGCGGCATAAGACAACCACCAAGATTTCTACGTGACGACGCTTGAGTTTCAGTGGCGACATTGCTTGCTCTTTGAATTTTATGAAGGGAAATCGAGCGCCTGATGTAGGTTGAACGACGCCGCCACCACGCGCTCGCTCAAAGTACTCCTGCAGTTGCAGCTATGAAATGAGAAATTGATTGACGGCCAGAAATTATTCTTGGCCTCAGGAACACGACGTTTTCTCATTGCTATGCTTTTTTCATATGACAATACAAACCCATTTTCGGTAAATTCATAAACTTTGACTTTGATTCATTCTATTAGAAATCTCCGTCTTAACATAAAATCAAACTAGCATCGTTTGGGATGTCTGAGAAGGTATATTTAGAAATTAAAACGTATTGGTATCATGCAATTATAATCAATCATAGCTATTAACACGTTTCAGACAAGATTGATACACCACTAAACATGATATAAGTGGAGTTCTATCAAGTGCCATAAAAACAATAAAACGTCGGAAGTAGCTAAAAATACGGCTCATTAGCATTACATCTCTCAAGAAAATGAATATGATTAATGATAAAAATGTACAAAACATTGTTTATTTTTTTAAAAAGTGAACACCGATAATGCGCGAATTGCTATAACATGTCAAATATATTGAAGATCATTTCATGACGATATTTTTATTTCTACGAAATATTTGAAATTTTAAAAATTAATATATCCATCGCTGAAGCGGAAAAATGTGAATAACTTAATTATCATTCCATATTATTAAATTGAAACGAAAAGAATGCTACTTTGAACTATTATCTTGATAAATATTAAGAGTAGAATATTTGATATATTTTCTGAATACACATGACAACATTGCTTATGCACCCTCCTTATCACTTTCTATGCAAGGGTGCATTTTCTATCAAGTTCAACCTCGGAAATTACTTTATATATTTTTTTACATGTATAATATTATACATAAGAAAATAATCTTTTTTGATATATTTTGAATCGTCGGGTTTTACCCTAAAGTGTTGATAAAAATTAAAATTATTTTTTACCAGTTCTTTAATCATAATTTTCAGGTAATTTAATTGTAGAGAGTTGCATATTTTTTTACTTATTTATGATATTCTACTAAATGATATTTACCGCAAATAATTTTTCACTAAAAAAAACTTATATTTAAATGCAAATCATGTTAGAAATACTTAAAGGTAGGGAAGTTTGCGTAACGGGGAAGATAAA